TGCGAAGAGTCATAACAATATCAGGATAAGTACCTACAAGGACCACGGTCATGCTAGACACCGGTTATAGATACTCGTCACCATGCCTATACACCGTGTACTCGATCATTTAGCAATTAGGCAAATAATAACACTCTAATCTATTCCTTTTCAAGCCAAAGTTAAATCAAAACATACCTCAAATGCTCCAAAATCAACTCAAGCCTCTAGTATAGCTTTCTTTACCCTCGCCATCGCTTCCAACTCAGTCAAAAATCTATGAAATAATGACTTCGTGTTATCAATAATGTGCTTAGACAATTTCAAAACCAATTGACTAATTATAGCTTTTTCATTCAATTTTTACTTCCAAAAGGTCAAAAATGCCCCCGGGCCCACATGTTCAAACCCGAGGTGTCAACCAAAAACCCGGACTACCAATTTCCCGCATGAACTGCAAATATTATAAGTTATTTTGGAAATCACCTCAATTGAGGTCCAAAACCCCCCAATTTTAGAAAACCTAGGGTTCCTACCCTAAATTCCCAAAGTTCTCCATTAAATCTTTGTTTTTTGAAGTTTGAAATTATGTTTAAAGATGTTAAGGAGTAAAAAAAATAAGCTTAGAAATCACTTACAATCGTTTTGAGAAGAAGAATCGTTTGGAAAATCGCCTCTTATGTTTTTGGGTTTTGAAAAGTTGAAAAATAACTAAAAATCCCAACCTTTATATATCCTACTGGAGGCTCAGCCGCGGACTCGCAAAAGTGCCACCGCGACCGCGCTGAGGGACTGGAAATGACCCTCTCTTGAACCCACCCAGCGCGACCACACTTGATTTGGTGCGTGCCGCGCTGGAGGAATGGACCCCAAAATTCCCACTCTCTGAATCTTCCAGCGCGGACGCGCTGAATGGCACGCGGCGCCGCGCTGGGGCTGTGGCGACCCTAGGACTACTGGCCTCTGAACCTAGCCACGGCGACCGCGCAAAAATGCACGCTGGCCGCGTGGAGTTCGACGCGTGCGCGCTGGGGCCTGCCAACCCCTGAACCATGCAAACCATCTGCTATTTCTAGCCTAAGACCTCCCGGACCTACTCAAAATCTCACCCGAACCCTCGGGCTCCAAACCGAACATACATATAACTCAAAAACTACTACGGGACTCATCCGTGCGATCCAAATCGCCCAAACAACATCATAAATCATCAAATTAGGCCTCAAGACCCATTTGATTTTCTTCCAAATATTCCATAAAACATCAAGTTTAAGAGTTTTCTAGTTCATAAACACGTCAAATGACGCCCGATTTCGACCAAACTTTATAGAAAGCGCTTTAACACTATTATTTAAGACTGTTTCCGGCCGTCTCGGAACCAAATACGAGCCCGATTACCATTAGTCTTTTAATCAATTTTCATTTCCATTTTCCTTTAATAACTTCCCAGAAAAAATTAATTTCACAGAAAAATTCTTTTCCTCGGGTTTCTGACCCGATTCGACTCCGGGCACATGCCCGAAGTCCCATATTTTTCTACGACCCTCGGGACGCTCAAATTACGGGTCCGGGGTCCGTTTACCAAAAATGTTGACCGAGTCAAACTTTAATCATTTAAAGCCACATTTTGAAATTTTTCGCCAGAATTTAACATATAATCTTTTCCGGTTACGCGCCCGGACTGCGACACGCAAATCGAGGCGGCAACTAAAGGTGAGTTTTCAAGGCCCGGAAGCACGGAAAAACGAGAGAAATCCAGGTGATGACCCTTTAGGTCGTCACAACTATACTTCGATTATTTATGAATTGAAATTTTAAGGATATGACTTGAACTTTTATGGTATGAGTTGAACCCTTTAGGATATGAATTGGACTTTAAATTATGAATTGACAGATTTGGTTATGTATTAAGAATTTTAGTTTATAAATTAAAATTTTTAGGATATGACTTGAACTTTGTTGGATATGAGTTGAACCTTTAGGATATGAATTGAAATTTTGGTTTATGTATTGAATTTTTAGATTTATTAAATTTGAAAATTTCAGGATATGACTTGACTTTTGTGGATATGAGTTGAAACCTTTAGGATATGAATTGGACTTTTAGTTTATGGAAATGAGATTTTGGTTTTGTATTGGCAATTTTAGTTATAACATTGAAAATTTTAGGATTATGACTTGAACTTTTGTTGGATATGAGTTGAACCTTTAGGATATGAATTGAGACTTTAGTTTATGTATTGGAAGTTTAGATTCATAAATTAAAATTTCAGGATATGACTTTAACTTTTTGCTGGATATGAGTTGAACCTTTTAGGATATGAATTGGACTTTTTAGCTTTATGAATTGAAATTTTGGTGTTATGTATGGAATTTTAGTTTATAAAATTTGAAAATTTAGGATATGACTTGAACTTTTGTGGATATGAGTTGACCTTTAGGGATATTGAATGAATCTTTAGGATATGAATTTGAAAATTTTGTTTTATATTTTGGAAATTTTTAGGTTTTATAAATTAAATTTTAGGATATGACTTGAACTTTTGTGGATATGAGTTGAACCTTTATGGATATGATATGAAATTTTGGTTTATGTATTGGAAATTTTAGTTTATAAATTGAAATTTTAGGATTGACTTGAACTTTTGTGGATCTAGTTGAAACCTTTTAGGATATGAATTGAACCTTTTAGGATTATGAATTGAAAATTTTTGATTTCTGCTATTGGAATTTTAGTAATATAAATTGAAATTTAGGATAAATTGACTTGAACTTTTGTGGATATGAGTTGAACCTTTAGGATAATAGAATTGAAATTTTGGTTTATGTATTGAATTTAGTTTATAAAATTGAAATTTTAGGATGATGACTTGAACTTTTGTGGATATTGAGTTGAACCTTTAGGTGATATGAATTAAAATTTGGTTTAATGTATTGGAATTTTAGATTTGCGGGAGGATTTTGTAGACGGGTTTGATGGTAATATTTAGACATGCAATGGGAACTTCCACCAAGAATAACTAAGACCACAGTACCTAGCAGACGTGTGCCTGTTAATTTGTTCTTCTCATTAGCGACAACGATGATGAGAAGGCAAGAAACATGTGGTTTCAAATAGTTATGCGTGTAGGTTAGGAGTTTAACATTTTCTAAGTAATTAAAAGAAGAGGTAATAGAGGAATTCTATACTTTAATTTTCAAAAGAGAAAAAGGATTTAATGCGAGCGACAAGGGTGATGGTGATCAATGTTTTTCCGTTGGGTCATGGCAGTTCCCATATAAAACGGGGATCATAAGACTCTATAATGACAGAGATTATAGAAGTTTTTGTTCTCTAACTTTTCTTCCAAGTCTTGATCCGTACAAGCTTATGGGATGTTGGTCATACTTATTCTTCGGATTCAGACAATGATTTGACTGACAAAAGTATGGAAATGCTAATCAAAAGAATTAAAGCTAAAATGTTACAGAGAAAAAGTTTTGTTTTAATTCTTTTGATTATCTGTTCATGCTTTTGTGATATTTGTGATATCATTGTCTGAATCCGAAGAATATATGACCAACATCCAATTAAGCTTGTACGGATCAGACTTGGAAGAAAGTTGAGAACAAAACTTCCTATGATCTTTGTCATCATAGAGTCTTATGATCCCCGTTTTATCGGAACTGTCATGACCAACGGAAAACATTCCATCACCATCACCCTTGTTGCTCTCAATTAAACTTCTTTTCTTCTTGGAAAATGAAGTAGAGAATTCCTCTATAATCTTTCTTTTATCTACTTAGGAAATGTTAAAATTCCTGCCTATACCATCTCTAGTTGAAACACATGTCATTGCAGTCTCAACATCATTGTCGCTAACGAGAACAACTATTGATCAAAAGACACACCCTGTCAGCTACTGTATCCAAGTTATTCTCTGTATCCAAGTTCATCCCGAGTAATAGTACCATGAGGATAATCACCAAAGCCACCGGACAGCTTTATGATGCCAATGAAGCAAGATGAGTTATTCAATGAAACTCGTATTGTAAAGAAGAAGAAAGAGACTGATTCAGAAAGGTGGGTCGAGGGTCGAGCCTCGACTATACATGTAAGTTTTTTACTTATCATTAAGTATTTTGATTTACTTTTATATAAATTTTGAAATATTAATTCAATATAATTTTTCTTATAGGTTCGCTTCACAGGTGATGTGGGCGAATTCATACGAAGTCAGCCACCTAACGAGTCGGCCGAGGCAATCCAACTTTCGAACGAGGATGCTAAAAGAACACTCCTTGAGTACTTTATATACTTTCAACTAGACAATAGAACTAGTTTTCGAATGAGCTTGTAATAAACGTTAACTTAGTTTTGTTAGCTTAATGTTTTAGTTCTATTGATCTTTATATTTTGTTGCGTTTTAGTGTTGTTGTTGTTTTTGCTGGCATAAAATGCCTGTTTAGGATATTTGGTATAAGCTGGCAGGTGGTGTAGCAGCCAAAACAGGCAGTTTCTGCCAAAAATATACCAAATAAGCGACCAACTTTGGTGTCCAGTTGGTCGCTATTCACTTAAAAAAAAAAAAAAATCTGGTAATTTTGCGACCAAGGTTGGTCGCTTATAGTTAAAAAAAAATTAATTCTTGCCATTGGTCGCCCATTAAATAAAAAATTATAACATTTATTAATATAGCGACCAAAGTTGGTCGCTTAATATGATTAAAAATAAATAAAATTAAACGTTATTTACATCTGGAGACCAACTTTGGTCGCCAAATATATAATATTAAAATATTTGAGCGACCAAAGTTGGTCGCTATATGCTTTGCCCGAAAAATTTGGTCCTTTTACCTGAGAGACCAATGTTGGTCGCTATTTAACGACCAACTTTGGTCCCTAAGGTAAAGGGACCAGCTTAATATCGACCAGGCGTGGTTGGTCGCTTTTTGGCCAATAAGCGACCAACGTTGGTCGCTTTTGCTGGTGTTTTTTTCCGGAATTCTAGCAGTGATAACCAAGAAATTCAAATACATCAACTATCAACAATGTCTAAGGCCTGACGAATCGAGCCTATAAGCCAAGAAACAACATTAATCAAAAGAGTACAGGACATAAATAAATACACACTTGTTTTTTTTTAAATTACTTTTGAAGCTCATGCTTCTCTTATTAGATGAAATAATACATATTCGAATAGATACAAATTATTAAGCGAGTAGTTTGTTACTTCATAGTTTTTTTCCGTCAATCCTTGACGACTTAAGCCTTCTTAAACATAACCTTAAATGGGACATCACTCAAAGCCAATCGTCTAATTCCATCCTGAATGAAGATGCCAACATCTTTGCAAATGACCTTGCAAAAGTTGCATACTGTAGGACAATAAACCAGCTTATAATCACGTTCAAATTTCTCAATCTTGAACCAGTTGCTTATAGTTTCCCTACCAGGATTTCCTTCATTTCCACCAATTGTGATAAAGTATTTCCCTGTAGTTTCATCAAAGTCATCTAGCTTCCACAGGGTTGTCTGAACACAGATTGAGGCTGCAGAGAACTTGATGTTTAAATCAGTGGATTCGCGAATCACGCCTTTTTTTGGATTGACGGGTGTAAAGGTCAAAGGAAGGCCATCTTCTATCTCATGATGTTCTTGGACAACAGCGTCAAGTGGACAAGATTCATTGCCAGTACTATCTAGGGTAAGTCCACCACCTCGTCCTCGTACGACTGGCAAGATGTAGTAATCGATGCCTGTTCGGAGTTTCTTTCCAGTAATGTCGACTACTGCTGGAGGAGCTTCGGCTGCTGAGGAGAGGTAAGAGTTAAAAGAGATGGTAAAGATGAGGAAGGAAAAGAAAAGTTGATTGGTCTTCATTTTGAGCTGTGTTTGGTATGTGGAGTTAATGTAATGTTAGTAAATGAATTGAAGGCTTTTGGGGTTTTTATAGCTGTGGGAATTCAAGAAATGCACATGGCCTCGGGATTAAATAATTGTGAAGGCTGGGAGATCTGATCTTAAAGAAAATTCGTTTTTTTCTTTGGGTGGTGTTTGACTTTCACATCATTCAAGAATTTCTAATACTAGATCAATCTCAGTATTAACTTACTACTTTTTGACAAATTGATAAGATACTGAGAAAATGATGAGCATGTATAGCCTATTAAACAATGCGCTTTAGCCGCTTATACTTTGCTTTACGGCATGTTACAAGTTTATGGTTGCCAGATCGTTCAAGACTTCAAGTACCTTTCCTCTAGCTTCATTTTGCTTATAAATATGTTTATGATATTCTTTTTCTGTCAAAGTTTCAACATTCAAAGGTCAAACTTAATAAGGTCAACATTATTTATTAGAGTTACATGCTGATCCCTAGTCTGCGCATAGGTGTACATACTCTACTTATTGACAATATTTTATTGAGGTTACATCATACATTAGCTAGACATGAAGATTAAATGTGGTTAGTCTGGATAAGATGATCTGGATGCACCTCACACGATGTGTCAATCAACATCTCTAAACTTGTGATTAGGGGCTGCTGTGGACTCTAATCTTCCTTTTCCAGCTAACCCCCCCCCCCCCCCCC